GGGCCTTAAATACAACTCAAAAAAGAGAGAAATATTAGTATTTAAGGCACCGAAACGAAAGCCACGACATGTGCCACCCGTATGTCTCGATGGTTTACCTCTGAAAGTCGTACAGAAGTTCAAATATCTCGGTCATATTGTTACGAGTGACCTAGGAGATGATGAGGATATTGAGCGAGAGCGCAGAGCGTTGTCGGTAAGAGGCAATATGCTTGCCCGCAGATTCGCCCGGTGCACTGCAGACGTGAAAGTAACTTTATTTAAAGCGTTCTGTCAGTCTTTCTATACCGGTGGTCTGTGGGTGACTTATACACGCCGGACCTACAGCGCCCTGCGTATTCAATATAACAACGCTTTTAGAATGCTGTTGAGGCTGCCGTGGCGCTGTAGTGCCTCTAAAATGTTCGCAGACGCACACACTAATGACTTTTTCGCCATAATGCGTAGAAAAGCAGCGTCTCTCCTGCAGCGCTTACGTACCAGCAACAACGGCATCCTAAGGGTAATTGCTGCCAGGCCCGACTGCCCCATACTGCACCACTGTATGACGGTAGCTATTGGGCGAAAAAAATAATTTGTACATAATTCACATTAACTAACAATAGTAACTTACAAGTTAAGAAAAAATTGTTACTAACATACTAACAATCTATGGATGTTCCTTACGTCTGAAATAAATACTTATTATTATTATTATTATTAAAAATCAAGGAAGTATCATCAGCAAATAATACTATATCATGACTATCCCCTACAAGGTGATAGTCATGATATAGTGATATATATATAACAGCATACATAACAGCATAGATACATAACAGCATAGCTACCTACATAGTAGAAAAATATAATCTTTTAGCTTATTTAGTTCCGTTTCTTTGCACATGTGCCTAAGTTTATTGATGGAAATTTCTTTGCTTTTCAATATTTTGGTTTCGAACGTGTGGCTAGTTGGTATAAGTTCGTATGACCTTATTTGTTGGGACGACCGCGGCATTCTTCAGCGCTTATTTGTAATTTTTACAAACTCAACAAAAATATGGGAAGTTATTTCAAAACATGTGAAGAGCTTAACTTTAAAGAAGGTGTGTCAAAAAATGCGAAAGTAGAGTCAACAGCTTGCAAGTGGTGCGGTATCAGTACGCCTAAGTAAATAGTGCCTTGGAAGAAGAATATCGTCACAAATGATCCCGTGGCAAGTTTGGAAGCTAAATCACTTGCCAATTTTAAGAAGTTCGAGTTTTGCTGTCTTTAGTCATTTGGTACGACGTTTTATTCCACGTTAATCTTGTCAGCACATGCATGCAAGCAGAGCGCATAGATTTATCAGATGCTACAAAACTGATGCACAAAAAATAATATACCTAGAGACGAAGGATTAACAAACGCTCATTGCAGCTATAGATACAGCTGAAAAAGCTCAAATGTTGTCATGGGGCAACTCGGGGTCATATTGTTTAAACCGATTTTTTTTTCAACTACAAGGATATGTTATTTTCAAACTGGACAATTTTTTTTTGTATTCTTTGATAAAATACAAATAAAAAACGTCCCATGACTTTTTACGATAAAGTTAACATTTTCGGTGTTATGAATTTTTAAAGATTTGAAAGATCCCAAATTCGGATAATTTTGACTCTAAATATATAAAGAAAAAGAATAAAATATAAATATATTCCGGATCCAAAAAATTTTATTCAGAACAAATGTTTTCTATCCAATGTTAGACACCGCCATAAACATAAATAGATACATGCTAAATTTGTTCTCCATTTAAATACTTAGTTTATTATTAACCCATTGTGTTTTAAGGACATACAGGTTTTAATTTTTCCAACATTCAATGGATTAATTATAATATTATTAGGAGCCAGTAGGCTAAACGTGAAGTTTGTTTTTGATAAGCACTGTTACATTAATTAGTAAACATATAACATAACGTGTAAGTACCAGTTCTAAAGTTGACTATGCTTATTGATCTCATTAATTAATGTTGACTTAATTTCGTTTTATTGTCTATTGTTGTTATGATTTATTTAAATAAATGTACCTTAATTCCTTTTTAAATTTTTTTTTTATTCTACATCAACGGTTCCTATAGAAATCGTAAGAAGTGCAGTGCCTAAAATACCACGAGCATGGCTGTTTTCAATCGACAAATTAGACAGACTTAAAATGTTGTCGAGATCTTTCCAGTTTCATGCTTGCATGTTCACGTACAATTGGTATACATTAGGGGCAAGCAAGGGGGGCGCCATAATTGGCTCTCGCCCCATCCTAAAACTTGCCTCAAGCCGGCACTGACTGTGGACAGTTAGTTTCGTTACCTTATGTTCACAAAAAGCAAGTAGATGAGAAAGTTGTGTTTATGGCAGTAAATGCACGTCGCTTGGAGAAGTTTAGAAGTAACATATTGAAGAAACTTCCATCACTTCCATATCAAAATAATCCAAATTTTATGTATGGAGCATTGTTTAGGTTTATTTGCAATAAATTTGATAATATTTTGACTTCTATAACATTCTCCTTGAACAGTCGGAAGGCATTCAGTGAATGGGCGACAGATAAGAGCAGACAAAGGTTATATGAACTTTACCATGAATGGTACTATCTTTATCTTTATATATAAAAATTACGTGTAACGTTGTTTGTCCGCGATGAACTCCTATACTACTGAACTGATTTCAATGAAATGATAAGTGACCCTCAATTCTTTTTATTGTGCATTTAATGATTTTTTTAGGACACATGATCATCGGAAAGGGCAGAACAACGTCTGCCTGGTCAGCTAGTAATCCTATACATTAAGGATATTATATATATAATACTAAGGAATTTATGGATGATAATAACCCCTAGGAATGAGGTAATCGTTACCAAGCTATTTCTAATTTGTTTTGTATGGTTAATTGTATAACATACGTGATTGTAAGCTGGTATAAAAGTCCCGCTGGGTTTCTTGTTGGCTCTTGCCAACACCTTCTCGTCAAGATGCACCTAAATTGGCTCGTATACTTGTACGACCTTCCGAAAACACCGTTTGCTAATTCTGTAAGTTACGCAACCCTCGTCTTCGCACGTATAATTAAATAAATAATTTTGATATAAACGCTTTATTAAAAATTCGAAATAAATTATTTGACAAAAAAATACAAAATATATTTTTCATAATTTAAAATTAACAATAAAATAGTTTAAAAAAATTAAGTACATTTGCACGGACTTAAATTACATCTTAATCAACATATCTATTTTAAGATTGATTCATTTCTTTATGAATATTTAAATAAGAATGTTCATATTTATTACACGTTATAAATACTAATTCTCGAATACTTTGCTCATGTAACGTATACGTCTGACCCAGTCTGACCAACAAAGAAAGATAGACAAAACAGCACATTTCAAGTGACGCCAAAATCAAGCCAAAACCATGCTCAAGATGTTGTTGTAAGAACCCTTACTTGTATGAGTTCGCGTTCTTACAATAAGTACATACAACATGCATTTAAAGTTATTTGCAACTACATGCCCTTAGGTGCATATGATGTGTATGTGCAGCGATGGAATTTTACGAGCTGATAAAGAAAGAAAATAGATCTGTGTGTATACGTATACGTGTCAAGAAATTGAGCATGGTTTCGGCGTCACTTGAGCACATAATAAAACATTGTAATTTCTTATATTTATGCGAATACAACACATTGAACTAAACTTATTTTACAGCACATGAAAAGTCGGATATAAAACTAAGTTAAAATTAAACGCGGCAATATCCGTAGAATTAGTTTATATCATTCAACATGAAATTATATGTGTATAATTTTTACTTCTTGTAAATATATATTATATACTTTATATTGTAGCACAATTACAGAGAACCTAATAAACCAACGACCATGTGCGTCATTGTTCAAAACAATTGCAACTTAGTTTTGGAATGTGTAAGTCTAATATTTATGTAGTAATTGCAAGTAAATGTAAGTCTAGCTACTAAACCATCGGTCACACATAGCGAATACTCGTTGCGATTAGGCACTCGCTGCGAGAATACGCTGTGTGTGACAGGGCCCTCGCTGCGAATAGCAATTCCGCTCCAGACTACACGCCTGTACATAGGTCGTTTCGTTGCTGCATGATACGTGTGTGTAGGTCAATCAAATGAGTAAACCGATAAACGATTGTCTAAAATGGGGAAATTACGATATAATTCATTGCTTGGGTGTGAAAATTAGGGAGCTGTTTGACACAAATAACAGTAATTTAAAAAAAAAAACGCAAAGGCAGACGCCTTCGTTGTTTAACGAATTAATTGAGTTGGGATTCGAAATAGTAACCCAAGAGCAATTGAAAAGAAAATTTAAGAATATAAAAGATACATATTATAGACAATTCTTGTGTAGTACTCGCTGTGTGTGACAGGCAGGCAGCGAATACACTCGCAGCGAATATTGCTGTGTGTGACCGAAGCTTAAGGCCAACACTCAATGGTTAATAACAGAACTAACAGGCTATAGAACACGCCCTTAATCAAATTTCTGTATATAATACATAACAGTTGAGGAGGACTCTAAAAATGTAAATTATATTTACATTTACATCCTACCAGTACTTCGCTAACTGTCTGATCAGCGCAGGCCCCCGAGGAATATGCTTAAAAGTTAAACTTACGTCTTCTAGTTCTACTTCCATTATATTTTTTTAAATGTCTAAATTTATAAAAATCTAGTGAAATTACGTAACTAAAAAATGTATATGAAATCTCATTCCATAGATGCTCTTCCATCATAATAATATTATCGGTGACATTATGAATAAAAGTCGCTAAAATATGATTTTTCGTAACGTATTTGGTATTATAAATGCAAAAGTATCATGAAGATATTTTCAGATCTTTGTTTATATAAACCCTAAAAACTTATATTAGTAAATAGCCACAAATAAGTACAACAATAAATAGTATAATATAATGATGCTTGACGTCAACAAGATCATATACTTTACATTTCTTGATGGCCATTAGTTTTAGGCTCGGAGTTATCCTTCTTGTTACGCCTATTTCGTCTGTGTTTGCTGTTTGATAGTATCTCGTATGCTTGTTGTATTTCCATAAATCTTTCTTGAGCAGCACGCCTTTGAACTTCATCCTTAACTTTATCAGGGTGATTCTCACGAGACAATCTCCTCCAAGTAGATGTGATCTGTTGCTGTGTTGCATCTGGCCCCACACCCAGTACCTGATGGTAAATTTTGTTACATTTATTGATTATGACAATCTTTTATCCAAATTCCAACCCCACTCGTAAATTGTACGTTCCGCTGATCACCAGTCAGGATCTAGCAACCAACTAATAACTAACTGGTTACGAAAAACCCATTCAAATTTCGAATCGAAATTCTATACTAGTGATGCAATTGCACTGCTAGTGAGGGTATTTGCTCTAAGGTCATCTCCTGGCCAGAATGGTTAGTATGAGAATTCCTTCCAAAAAATGCATGCCTACTGTTGCATTTTTCTTTATTTAAGTTCTTTATTAAAGTTTTGTGTCCTTCAGTGAACTACAACATCCACTACAAGCCAAATGCATAAAGATTATTGATGCTAACTTTTATTCACAGAATTAGGTGCTACATTTGTTTCCTTTAATTGCAGTCATAATTATATGACAAATGAGACAATTAGCAGGTTTTCTTTCTAGATACAAGTTTCAAGATAACTAAAATAATTTTAAAAAATATATATGATTAAATGTATAATTGTATGAACTACATACAGATAATAATCTATTTTTAGATTATTACGATATTCTATATAGATTTACACATCAATAAACGTGTTTACCAAACCTCTATGTACCTAATGCCAATGCCCATACAAACAAGAACCTTTATTTATTTTTGTCACTATAATATTAGGTGGTTTGTTCCAACGCCCTTACCTTGTAAGCATTTTGTTCTCCATGAGGATCTGATAGGTCAATGATTTGTTTCCAAACCTCATACCAGCCATGATGCTGGGCATATTGGTAAGTATCAATCAGGCATTGCTTTACATCTAACCACCTGGAAAATTAAATTGAAACATCCATCAAAATTTTAACAAGTAAATTATTAATAACAACTAAGAACCAAACTCCAATGATTTATTAATAAATTACATATTGGCACGTCAAGCTACATTGACAGGTACATGCAACTTCAGTGTCAGTTACTCTTGGTCTTCTGCGGATATGCATATGATGGATTTTACGACGCAGGGAAATTCCGAGCATAGCCCTTTCTATCTCCTGTTGAATGACTTTGAGCTTTCTCAAAGAAGGGAAGGTTCTCGAGTGGCAGCATCATCCTGCCAAGTGTAGTGTGGGCGTTCCCCTTCTAGATGGAGTTACAACCTGATAAAATATTCAGGTAGCCGATGGTTGCAGGTAGCTCAGGGCAGTACTTTAAAACAATCTATTATGGGGGCCTATGTTCAGCGGTGGACTTGTGATGGGCTGTATTGATAGCGATCGTAAAATTACATATTGGTCAAGATGAGCTTCAAGCAAGCAAAAGCTACTACTACATATAGGTATTATTATCATAACATATCACCTATGATAATGCATTAATGAAGAAAAGTCAATCCGTGTAGGCTTCAAGTGGTTACCAAGGAATAAACGAACACTCAACAAACAGTCATGTAAATACACCCAAAAGACAACCTTTCTCAGTCAGAAGAAAACCTATAAAGACACATTATAGGTAATAATAAATCAAAGAGTAGCAAAATGCTTCATTGAAAATTGCTACTTTGAAGGACACATAGAATAAGTATTTGTATGGCCTACAAATAGTTGTTCAGGGTCTCAATATATTGTTGCAATATGTGTGTGTAAACTACCTCCATGATACAGAAGAAAATCCTAGTGTTTGTTAAGTAGTGTTGTTTAAAAATTTTCAGAAAGAAAAAAGGCGATCAGATTATTATGTAATGAAAGGAACAATATCATTGGTATACTCTTACCAAGGACTGGTGAAGAAGTGGTGCAAGGCCTCATAAATTGGTATTTCATCTCCTTCACTATCAGTAATAGTGCCATGAAAGTATAAATAACTGCACCAGAGGGAAACATACAGAGCTGCACACAACCCCAAAATTGCAATACGTCTGTAAAAAAAAATCAAAACAATTATTAATATTAAATAATAGATTAAATATTATAACTTATAGATAAAATAAAACATTGAGGAAATTAATTCGCTTAACAAGCTACAGAGCGAACTATGCTCTGAATTTGATGCATAATAGAATATATATACAAGCCTTAAGTATTAGTTTCTTTGTATCAATATGTTCAGTTCTTCTTGAGATAAATTAAGAATAAATGGTCTACACCAATTCCATATTAATAAAGGTAGTGCTGTATTAAGCTTAACTTCAATAATGCGAAGGCAATGAAAATGTGTTTTCTGACTTTTTAATTTGTATACCTACACTGTAAAATAATACGATACCCATCCTCATTAGCCTGCCAGTCCAAAAATAACCACAACAGGAGAGTGCTCGTTAGCACTTACTAAAAATAATACCCAAATCGCACATGCCACTTTTCATCATCAATTCAAGCAATTTTTAAGAAACAAGCTATTCTCCTATCTGAAGTCATTTTATTTGAATCTGTACTAATAAAAATATAAATATGAGGTTTAAAATATCTGAAATATCTACTGATAACTAATAATTTTGAGTTACACTGAATGTACGAATACTGATAAATAGTGTATAACTTATGAGGCAAAACATATCAGCAGAATTATTATAATATATTAATACCAATACATAATACAATATATCAATTTTTCAAATACTCACTTGACAAGATTATGTCTTCTTGAAGTCCTCTTCCACTCCTTAGAATAAGTATCAAATGCAAGTGCTGAAGCCAGTACCATCAAAGTGAACCACACAGTCTCGTCATAAACATAAAAGCGAATGGGATAGGCAGCATACGCTGCCAACAATGGCCACTTGAGATTGCCTTGTTCCCTTCCAATATTACCCACCGTCCATACACCTAAATAAAAAAGCTAGATTAATTTTTTCCATTAAATATCAGTTCGTAGCTTTTGATGTTCCTTTATCTAATGCAAAGTATACTGATTCAGTAGTAAAAAATTAAATTACAACTTACCCAGTGCTGCAACTAGAGGTATCAGGTAATTAAGATATCTCAAATTAAGACCCCAGAACTCGTCAGGTGGGACAGCTAACATCATCATTTGCCCCCAAGAGTATCCAACCATTAACATTCCAGTAAAACGATTCATTGAGAATGGAGGCTAAAAAGATTATAATAAGTTATTATAAACTTTCTAAGATTATATTTGTTCCCTGAATGTACAAAATGAAGATGTAATATGTTTTAATCAAATTTTTATCATGTCAAGAACTTCCGAAAATCAATGCAAGTTATTACCTAGGTATGACATTAAGCATTATTATTGTGGTGCCATAATTGTACATAGTTACGCAAAAAGGATCCAACCGCAGTTAACTCAAAAATGGATTATATATTCAAATTCAAGTTCAAGATCTATTTTTCATAGCATAAAAGAAATTCCAACAAAATCTCAACCAAAAGAGAATCTTTACAACTAAATGCTGATACATGAATTATTTATTAAAAAAAAGTTACCTTCTCATTAGGAAACTTCTAGACCTCAAACGTCAATGTTTCAATTATATTATATAATATTTTGTGGATTGATCCTTTTTGCATAACAATCTCCAATTGTATTTGCTATGCAGAGACACTCATACAGCATACTTAATCACTTATGCATATGTATTTCAGATGAAGATTTAGATGCAGTATCACAAGAACAATCGCAACACAAGGCTTTATATCAAACAACATTTGTTTTCACACACAAATGTTAATAGTAATAGTTTACATCAGTGGTGAATTACTCAAACCATGCCATGCTTCATGCATGCCATATAATAAGCCACATATTTGTCATTTATAAATTTAAACAATACAGATGTATTTAAGCAACAAATAATGTAAAATTTCTAAGCTTAACTTTGTTTAAGATCTAACTTTTATTAAACACACATGTCAAGTTAAATAACACAAATACACCAAATATTTAAAATAATATGAATACAAATAAGCACAGGGAAATTACACAATTCATAACATGCATATCATGTTTAACAGTACCTTAACTACTTAAGGTCCCACAGGCCGAAAAGCTTGAAAAAAAAAAGGAAATAATGATTACAAAATACAAAGAGTACAAAATAAATAATAATAATCTTATTTACAAGAAGTAATACATAATCTTAACTACAAGAAGGGAAATAGTTAATCTTTCACAAGATATTTTTCATGTCAAGTCACTACATTTAGCATTTTTACTACATTAAAATGTGCCATAATGTATTTACACATACCATCCACTAACTACTGAGTACCTTAATTGCATGCATTTGAGGATAACCTTGCTAAGCTTACAGTCCTGGGCTCAATCTCATCAAGTACAATGTGGCAACCAGGACAAGAGTACAAATCTTTGGGGTTGGTTTTTAGCATCCCGTGCCACAATTTCATTGGTGATTTGAGTTATCATTATTTCTTAAACAATTTAAAATAATGATCTAATACACTCCCTAGTGTCTTTTTACGTGAAAATATATAGTATCAAGATACTTTAATGTTTTAACTTTAATTGGGATTATAAATATCCTGCGGCACAAATTCATTGATGATTTTGGTCATGTCCTAGCAACTTTTTATGTGGAAATATGTATTTTTCATGAAACTATTTTTGAAAGTTTTGAAGCATGTTGATCTACAAATGATTATTAGATCTTTTTAAGGAATTGATTTTTTGGATCTATTTAAAACAATTAATGCAACTAAGAACCAGTATAGGCAATTTATATGGGAGGGCTACATTCAACAGGAATGAATGGACGAAAGAATTTTGTTTAATGTAAGTGGTCCACTATTTTTGTTTTTGGAAGAACTTGGAGAAATAAATAGTGAAAGATAAAGAACTGCACATATCGATTAAATCTAAAGTATTCAACACATGCATTCTCCCTGAATTGATGTCAAACATGGGCTCCCACTAAACTTAACAGTAAGAAATTAAACATATGCCAGCACTTAATGGGGCGAAGCATAATGGCAATCAGGAAAAAGGATCAAGTCAGGTTAGAAGACATTAGGAAAAACACAAAGGTTCGGGACATAACAACAAATATCAGGAAAGTAAAGTGGAAATGGGCTGCGCATATGAGTAGAGGGAAGGAGAAATGGAGCAGGAAGGTCACAGAATGGTACCCGAGGAATGGCATAAGAAAGAGGGGAAGACTCCGCCAAAGATGTGAGGACGACCTAGCCAAATTCACGGGTGTGACCTGGAGCCAGGTTGCCAAGGACAGAAACAAGTGTAAAAGATTGGAGAAGGCTTTTGCTGATTGGCAATCAGCAGAAGACAACCTAGATTTTATATAACTTAGATATTAAGAAATTGTATTACATACTGCTGAATAAATGGCTTTTTGTTTGTTTTGTTGTATAAGTGGTTCTTGTGTACATACAAGGCAAACTAGAAGATTTGTATTACAGAATAAGCATGACAATAGAGCACAGTCCATCTGATGGCAAGTGGATGCTGTGGCCCATGGATATCTACATCTATCCTCTAGTGATGTGACAACTCTGTTTACCAACTCGGTTCAAATCAGTTTGACAATTGAACAAATCAAATTGATTCAAAGATTGAGTTAAACTGGTTTTATCGCGCCGCCGATGTGTATCGTCGGGTCGAACTAGTCAGCACCCAGAACGCGGATGGTGAGTGAGATAGCAGTTTGTGCAAACTCTGACCGAATTGCAATTTGCAAATACCAATTACTGAACCGAGTTACTGAGCTAATATTCCTATATTCTAGAATTGAATTCTATTAGAGGATTCTTTTCTAACAACCCCACGCAAGCTGCAGATAAAATTGTCCCTGAATATTTGGAGATGACAAACAAACAAATAGTTGTAGAATATAGGAATTAGCTCCTACTTATTAGCATTTGATATTTTGATTGTATCTTAGTTAACATTTCATTAATACATTTCATTTCAATAAACATACTTTCCATTTTAAACAAAACAACTGTTGTTTTCTTAGTGACTTATCCTACTACCTATTTTATGAATTTGTAATTCATGAAAAACTGTATTAAATTTATTTTGATTATTTTTAATATGAATAATCAAGCCATTCGACTATTGATCTAAATCACATCAGTCAATTCAATTTAGCTATGTTTTATTTTGTATGATGTTATTCGATTTTCATGTAAATTGGTTGATGATTTGATATTTTTTTCAAACCAAGCTAACCTAGTAGCAATTTTAACTGAGTTGCCCATTGCTATTATCCTTTATTAAGAATCGAACTGTATATCCATTGTCACCCCTGAGGACTAACATGAGGTCTTTGGTTTTCTACTCTCACAATATGAGACAAAGAAGTATTAAGTGCTATTTTGTGATGTGAAATGTGGTCCTTCCCTGGTTGAGCCTATAACCATAATATAGCTACATTATGGCTCTACTACATGTAAAAGATTTTTTTTATATAGAAGAGGGGGCAAACGAGCATGCAGCTCATCTGATAGTAAGTGACTACTGTCGGCCATGAACAAACACAACACCTGGGGAATTGCAGATGCATTGCCGGCCTTTTAGAAAGGTATAAGCTCTTTTCTTGAAGGTCCCTAAGTTCTATCTGTCCAGAAAAATCGCCAGTAGTAAACAATTCCACAGAGAAGTTGTATGAGGAAGAAAACTCCTAGTAAAACGCACAGTTGTGGACCGCCAAGCATCTAGATGGTGAGGTAGTATTGTGAATTTTGACGCGAACTGCGTTCGTGAAATTTGGCGGCTGGAATTAATCCGAACAATTCCTCAGAGCACTCCCCATGGTAAAATCGATAGAAAATGCAAAGGCATGCAGCATCCCTACACAGTGCCAGTGTATCGAGCCAATCAGAAAGAACTCGGTCGACGACGATTCGAACCAATCTGCGCTGGATGCGGTCAAGTGGAAGGAGCTGGCACTGGGGTGCCCCTGCCCAGAGATGAGAACAGTATTCCAAGTGAGGCCGGATTTGCGCTTTGTAAAGTTGCAAGCGATGTGCCAGCATGAAATACTGTCTCATTCTGCTAAGCACGCCAAGCTTTTTAGATGCCAATTTGGCCTACCCTTCCAAGTGACCACGAAACTGCACACTATTCGATATGTCGACGCCGAGGATTCCGATGCTAGCTGAGGCAGCAAGGGGAGTGCCTTAAAACTGAGAAGATACGACAAAGGGGTAAAAAGATTAGTAGATAATGTCTAAAGCATAATCTGCTCTTCATAACTGTAAAATATTGGTGAGACAGTAAGCATATTGTGGATGTGCTTTAGGTCACTGGTGACAACAGTGCACAATCAACGCAAGTGAAGAAAGCAGGCGTGTCACTTTGTAAAAATCTGAGGTATGGAAAATGGTGGCGCGATTTTCAAATTTGTTCGCATTACTCGTGGGGTATTAAGGTTTAAGAGTTTGCAGTGTATATACTCAACTTATTTATTGAACTATAAGATGTGGGGTATTGAGGTTTAAGGGCTTGCGATTTATTTATATGGGGTTTGTAGTAATATGCGATTTATTTCCTAATTTCAGCTATGGAATTCCATACCTTGAAAAACTTGAGGTATGGAGTGCTCCATACCTTCCATAGTGGAAGTGACACCCCTGGAAGAAAGTGTGGGAATGTGGCAGGGGCCAGCAAAGTCCCAATAGAATTAAGCTCTAATAGAAATCTAATTCTCGATATTCTAAATCTAAATTCAGGGAGAATTAGTGTGACTAAATGGGCAATACCAAAATATGTAGTGTTAATAAAACATGTTTAGTATTAATAAATGTGTATTATTTTACCTAATGGAACCAGGCTGGGGTTAAAAGTATTAAGTGGGTCACAAAGGGGCAGTATGAAAATTACCGTGCCATGGCGGAACAATGTTTGGGAAACACTGCCTTACACCATTTAATAAATGATAAAAACCTCATTAACTGATTTTTATTAATTAATACAATATACTTTCTGAGTGGCCTAAGTAAATTCCTAGCAGATTCAGTGAAAATTGAAGTTACTTTAAATTTTATTTACAAAAAAAATTAAAAAAAGATTGTACAACCAACTTCAATATAAATTATTAATAACTCACAAACTACTGGTCAGACCCTGTAAAATTTACTTTATATGTGACCACATGAGAAGTACCAGGTTTCAAATAAAAAAAAGAATCATTGAAATCTATTGACCCAGAAAAAAGTTATGAGGTAACACATTAAAAAAACATACAGTCGAATTGAGTACCTCCTCCTTTTTGAAGTCTGTAGAAAAACATTAGTAATGCCAGACAAGACCATAATAGTATAACAATAATTGTTAGAAATGTTAATATATAGACCTACTATAACAACTTTCTTTACATTATATTCTCTAAATGGCTTACCTTTTTGTTTTGACGCATCCTGCTGACTAATTCTTGCATATGCTGAGGATCTTCATTAGCATCCCTAACGTAACGAGGAAGTCGAAAGATTTCACCAAGCCATCCAATACCAAATCCACCAAGTGTAGTCCACCAGACAAAGGCATGTCTATCTCGACGTAAATAAAAGTGATGTAAGCCAAATATACCTCCAAATAACCATAAAACATACGCCCATAACAAGGATTTCTTGTCCAGCGTTTGATCTCCCTTAGCTCCCATGTTTCAAGATATTTGTCGCGTAAATTTTTAAATACAACTTTCTTTGGAAATAAATTTCTCATACACTAAATTGCATAGAACTCTCAAAAGTAATTTGTTTTACAGGAGTTTCTGTTATAATTTTCAATAAATAAAATAATGACAAGTTTGAATAATTTTGCAAATCTTCAACTGACGTGACTTCTACTGACGTGACGTGCCACAACACAACAGGTTCACCAACTTTAAAAAATAAATAACAATTAGGCCCGCACCATACATACGGAATTCCATTTCGGTATGTTTCGATATTCCGATTCGGGATTCCGAACGCAGCATGTCCATATAAAATCTATGACCCGCCACACACGTACGGTAATTTTCCATACGGAATTTTCTCCGATTCCAGATTCTGATTCCGTACGGCCGTCTGTGCGTTCGGAATCCCGAACGGAAAAAGCCGCTCCGAACGCAAGTCTTCCATAGATTCTGTATGAGCCGCAACACACATTTATAAATTCCGTACGGAACTCGCACAGTGTTCGTCGCTCGACCGAAGCGAGTAGGTGTGTTTATGTACGTTTTTACATTTAATCTTATGTGTGTATAGCTTTTCGTAACCTTTCATCTTATTTTGTTTAATAAATCCTCGAAAGGGTTTACAGAAATATATTTCATATAGACAATATATTATATTTACATACAAATACATAGATACATAAATATATACATATAATAAATACAAAGAGATATATAACATAAACCTATAAATAAAATAACAACAAAGGTAACCAAATTGACCATATTAACTATCTTTAAAATGCTTATGTACCTATCTTTTAAAGGCAGTCTTATTAGATGTTTTTCTAACGTCATCGTCAAGGAGTTCCAGAGCAGTGCAGCCTGAATGGTGAAGGATTTGCCAACAAAATTAGTAAAATGTAGTGGGATACTCAGTTCATTATTATATGAGGACCGCAGAGTTCTATCATGCGTGGAGGAAATATACTGGAATTTCTCCTTGAGATAAGAAGGAGTGGATGGATCATTTAAGATAGAGAAGAGAACATGCGAAATTCTAAAGTCACGTCTCTGTTTAATAGTGAGCCATTTAAGGCGAGAGCGATAGTGAGAGATATGATCAAATTTACGAAGATTGAAAATGTATCTGACGCAATTGTTGAGTAGGCGCTCTAGCTTGTTAAGAAGATTTTGGTTTAAATCCGAGTAACACACGTCACCATAATCAATGATCGGTAGTATAAGTAATTGTACAAGCATAATTTTAGTCTTAAAGGGGAGAAACATTTTTAAGCGATAAAGAAAACGTAAAGAACCAAATACTTTACGACATGTTTCGGAGATATAAAACCCCCCAGTACAGAGTACTATCAATATGGAGACCAAGATTTTTAACTGAGGAAGAGAACGCTATCAGGTGATCATTATGATAGACGGGAGGTAGCTATCCATAATCACCGCTTGGCATTTCGTAGGGTTGACAGACACATGGACCAATCACGGACTGACTTGAGATTGGAATTCAATTTGTTAATCGCATTATGGATGTCACAAATGTCAGACTGTACATAAAATTGTAGGTAATCAGCATACAGATGGTACGAGCAATCAATATTAGATGTGATGGAATTAATAAAAATAGAGAAGATTAAAGGAGAAAGTATACCGCGTTGTGGTACTCCAGAAATCAGATCAATCCACTGTGAAGTCATTTGCTCCACGTGGACAGACTGTTGACGTCCGCGAAGATAAGATGAGTCCATTCCAGGACTGACGGTGCAAACCTATAATAAGAAAGGATAGCAAGAAGGATATCATATATCAATCCATATTTAAAAAAATATCTCTAGATAGATAGATCTTTTTACATAATATTGACTATATTGCAAGCTTAGGGTGATAAGGGGATGCACCCAGTACCAATGATACAGCAACAATGGAATCGCAATCAGAAAATTGTCGTCATTGTTCGCTGGCAGAATGTCTAGACACAATGGCTAACGTCTCTCAACTGAGCCTTGTTATTCTGAACGGAAATAAATGTATGTGTGTAATGTATTCACGGAATCCTGATTCGGATCTATATACATACCGACTTGTAGTTGGCACTGGTATAAGGCCGATCACATAGATTCGGAGTTCCGTTTCAAAAAACCGTTTCAGAATACATATTATTTTTTAATCATTATATTATTTTACGTCAAATAAAATTGTATAAGCCTTCTATCGTATTATATAATGAAATAAGATTATGCTAATAATCAATTTAAATCGAAAATATATTCAGTAAAAATGTATTTAATAAGAAATCATTCTTTATTAAGCAATAATGTTTGCTTACGATCCAATTCTGTGCTCCAAACCTCCAAACTAAATCAAAAGTACAAATTAGAAAGTTGTATTATTTTTAAAGCCGACCGAAAACACAGAAATACATTGCTGGTTTTGCTATATGTATGTATTTAAAAGAAAGCAACGTTATTTAATAACGTTATCAATGCAAAAATATTGATGTCCTAAATTGTTAAAATGTCGTTCATAAATAAATGTAATGGAAATTTATGCTTCCGGTAACGGTGTCTATGTCCGGAAGCAGTGCCAACGTCTATTGATAATCGAAGTTTTTTTTGTATGCTCAGCAAAATACGTCAATCAAACCACGAACTATACTATTAAAAAGTCAAATGGTGTGATTGTATTGCCTTTTTTCTTTTCTTTCTTCTTCTGCGTATTTTTATCCCATATTAGTAAATCTGTGCTAATTTATTCTTTCTTGAAAATTGTCGTAATGTTATCAAATAGCTTTTAAAATTATCATTGATCGCGTCATCGTGTAATATTGTACACAAAATCACTAATCATGTTTTCGCGTAAAATTCACTAGGCTAGGGGTGGTGGTAATTACATTGGCGAATTATACTTTTTCATCATGAATTTCGACGATAGTTCCAGTAGTGGCTATGTCACGACGGAGACAATATACGGGACTCATGAAGATTCCCATGTTGTAATGTCAGAAAAGGTGCAATCTTTAGCAGGCAGTATTTATCAAGAGTTCGAACGTATGATTGCACGTTATGATGAAGACGTTGTGAAAACATTAATGCCGTTACTGGTTAATGTATTGGAGTGCTTAGATTCTGCGTATCAAACTAACCAGGAGCATGAAGTAGAACTAGAACTGCTGCGTGAGGACAACGAACAGCTGGTTACGCAGTACGAGCGCGAAAAATCGGCAAGGAAGCATGCGGAACAAAAGGTAAGCCCCCAATACTTATTACGACCTTGATTGTTTCTTTTGTTTTGGCGCACAAGGCTAAATTAATACAATTTCAGTACATTATTTAACTCTGAACATGAAGTACGTTTTTGTTGTTATATTACCAGTGAAATTAAGTTTTTGTCCAAGGTTTAAATTCATTTGATGTTCTTAGTATGTGTCACCCATTATGCTATCTAAGGCTCAAGGTAAACAACATTTTATTGAATATGGAATCTTGAATATTTGTTACACAACTATTAGATATAAGTACCTATTTCACTAATGAAATAAATTATTTATAAATAAATAAATGATCTGAAAGAAAGAAGACTTATTTTTAAAATCAATACTTTGCTAAAGATAAATATAGTCTATTTTGGAAACCAAAACTTATATTTGTCATTGCATTGCTTTTGTATTTTTGACAAAGTTAACAGAAGTTATAGTTTTTTCAATTATTTAAAGACTACTACAAATAGCTTTAGCCGAGAGTATCCAAAAAATTCTTCTATTTTTACTATGAATAAATCTGTTTCCCTAAGTTTTACCAATTCCATTACATGTTGTATCTAGTTGCATAATTATATATTCCTATATATACCAGACCATTAGACATTTTGTAAAAATTATAACAATATATTGGAAATCATTAAGAGTAATGTCGGAGTATATATAATATTACTACTGTATTATTCATATTCAGGCATAAACTATATTGATGAATGCACAATAACTATATTAATGGTCTGAAAAACTATGTAATAAATTTGTTGCTTAACTATTCCTCACTACTTACAAAAATATGAATCTATTTTCTATATATTTTGTGATCGGTTAATACAGTCTACATATTGAATACCTGTATTTATTAAGCTCTTAAGTTATAATTGATATTATAATGGCTGCATTGATTAAACATATATAATTTGCTGCATTGATAAAAAAAATGCTGCTGGTCTTTAAGTTCTTTAAAAACTCTTAAAAATTGTTTGTAAATTTCAAACCAAAATACCACAAATGTGTTTTAAAAATTAAAAATGGTACATTTTACATAAGTAAATATATGATTTCAAAAATTATTATCTTGAAAATATGTCTTTCTGTAATATAATATTTTAGGATAACACTACAAAATCAGATCTAACCCTCAAAAACGTTTGAACTTTCAAATCAGAGCTAAGTTCTGCTTTCTCTCTTTCCACAAAATAACAAATGTACAAGACGGCTATTGTGATAATTGATACTTAATTTAAGTAAGTGATAATCAACAATTATAAATAAGACTTAGTCTTTTCTATTACAATTTTAATTTTTATATGACAAAATTCTAACAGTTGCTGGAAGCAGAAGACCATTATGAAGGTGATAGAAAAGACTTGACTGGTCGTTTAGAAGCTCTAGACAGCATAGTGAGAATGTTAGAACTTAAGCACAAGAATTCCCTTGACCATGCCAGTAGGTTAGAAGAGAGAGAGAATGAACTCAAGAAAGAATATGCAAAGTTGCATGAGCGATACACTGAATTATTCAAGACTCACATGGATTACATGGAGCGTACAAAGTTACTGCTCAGTACTGCAAGTGATCGTAGTGAAGTGCGTGGGAGACTTGGCCTCAACCCAGTTGGTAGATCTAGTGGTGAGATTTCCATTTTATCTAATTAGATTCTGATTAATCTTATATTGTCATCTTTACATGCATGTGATGTATATGTATTAATTGCTAAAATTGCATAACTATCTAATTAGTAAAAATTATTTTACTGAGTAAGAGAGTAAGATGTCAGAATATATATAAAGATTTTTTTTTATAGGATAAGGGTAACAAATTAGCACACAGTCCACCTGATGGTAAGTGGTTGCTGGGGCCCATAGACATCTACATCTATCCTCAACTATGAATTGAAATGCAGATGGGTAGTCACCCATGAGGACTAAGATGGAATGCCTCATTTCCAGTAAAAGGGGGTATCCGGTTCTCTACACTCACCATACAAAACACAGCAGTGTTAAGCTGCTAATTTACATTGGTATTCTGCCATCTTAAGAATTTCATAACATTCTACAGGTAATGCCAATGAGTTGAGTTTTCTGTTAATATTCCTTATTGGATGGTTTGTAAGCTCCTTTTTAATGAGGTGGTAACCAGACATTCCATCTTTGTACTCAGGTGCGAAAATGTATCTGCATTGCGATTCTTAATAAATGATAGATGTCTATGGGCTGCAGCATCCACTTATCATGACTGTGTGCTCACTTGTCACCATTATTCTATTAAAAAGGGGAAATTTTTATGAATTACCTTTTCCAAGCACACCTTAACCCTCACTAGTACATCTCACAGATTTTTTTACTGTTGTTGTTAATTCTATGATGGTATGCTGGTTTATGATGTATCTTTTGAAAATATTAATGTGTTATTGCAATAACATGGCATGAATTTTTACACCAAGTTTATACTCCAAGCTGTGCGTGTAGTGGAAGCGTAAGATAATTGACTCATTTATTCCTATAAGTGTCTTGAAAGGTTATTGGAAATTTGACAAAGATTTCAAGTCTTTAGGTGTATGGGTGTGGGGGATAAACTAACTTATTTATACAAGATGTAAAATACCCAGATTGACTAAGAGGTTGATGAAGTGCAAAATGTCTAGTATTGCAATTGCCAATCCAATTGATAAGAGTAGGGATTATGAAAAATTCTCCTCATTACAGGAGAGACCTTTTTTCTTTGGTAATGGTCTCTTACAAGTAACCATTGTTGAAAATACTTATTAAAAATAACCACTGCTATGCTCAAAAAATCTAAAATATGTATGAGCTCACTTTTGCCAGTGTTAATAGGAAATTATCCATAGCCATAATCAGAATTTAAAGCGTTATATTATTATTTTTTTAAATTACCTACAACATATTGATACATCAAATTGTACAGTTTTAGGGAGATTTGAATGACAGCTTAATTCAGCGGACAGATGATGCCGACAGTATCTCAAGTTTTTAAGCTGCCTAAGCAGACAAAATAACTTGAGGTTTATATCGACATTATTTCGTCCTTATCACTAATAGCAGACGCGCAGGCAATTAAAACTCAAAATTGCACTACTTTTACATATCAAAATTAACTTCAAATTGTTATTGAAACAATCCAAGAGGATTGGCAATCTGTCGGTGGTTAAGTACTGCCAATACCCCCAGTAGAAGCTTATTTTTTCTATAAAAAATGGATGTTGGCAGGATGATAACAATAAAAGGGCATAACACACCAAAGCTAGCCTAGGAAGAAACTATTGACCATAATCAGCTACATTTGAATGTGTCTGTGCCAATCAGTAAAAATTTTTGTTGCTGAATTGTCAATTATTTAATACAAGATTTTTAGATAGGGTATCATGTCTACTACAAAATTTATAACATAGATATATTGAAAGTATACTTTGTGAAAGTAATATTTTTATTCCCTTGTACCACTACTACTTTGGATGACAGAGACAATCCAAAGTCAAAGCTAGCCTATTATTGCCATATGTGTAATAATGAATACTAATAGTGAGTCAACTCAGCAACTAGACGGAGCAATTGCTCGCGACGCCTGCGGTAGTACTGGTTGGCTTCACTTGCGTACCGGTAAGCCCGTTTAGGAGTATCACGTACACGGAATACACCATGTGATTGCTTTCCATCACGATTTTTAATTGAATTATATGTAAGGATGAGAATTCATTATATCATTAAATTCGACAGAAGACAATTAAAAAAACGCAACAGTAAATGTTGTAAATATTTGTCGGTTGCAAATCTGTAACGACCGCCTCGTTGAATATACAGAACCAACATATAATTTTAATCTGTTTTATTTAATCTGTTCAACCCCTTACCAAATATTTTAAGCGGAATACCTGAGATACTGCTATATAGGTAAAATATAGCAAAATTTGTTGGGTACCTACCAGCACAAGCCTTTGTTTCTATCATGTCGAATCAGGTGAAGCTGTGAAAATGTTATAGCTAAGTCTCTTCTATTTACGACTGGGTATATTATTGTTTTGTAGGTTAATTTTACTAGATTTTTAGTTGTGGCAATTGCAACTATTTTACACAAAACGCCAAATAACCAAAATGTTATTTTAAAATATTTAAATATCTTTTATGTAAATACACAACATACATAATTTGTGTATTATAGATGTAATTAGGTTAACATCTAATATATACATTGTTTTATATTTTTTATTGCCTTAGGACCCATATCCTTCGGGTTTGCATCACTAGAAGGTTCAGTTAATGTTGTGGAACAAACTGAAAGTATCCCTGGAAGCCCTGTTAGTCTGTCTTCTTCACCACCATCACCACCTATAGGGTCAGAACTTGCTGCAGTGCGAACTGTCGAACGTGCTCATCAAACAGATCCAATCACACAACAAAGTCAGGTAAGTTTTTGACATTTAATCCAATCACTTTCCAAAGCAATGTTTTTTGTTTCTTCCAAAGAAATCTGATCAGTAGAAAGAAGGAAATTTATTAGCTATTGTTATTGCAAAAAGTCATGAATGTTGTTTTTTTTTGTAGTTTAGTATTTAATGAATAATATTGTCATCAAAGAAATAATATTCAATCAATTATATTTTAATAAACAGTTCTGTAATTTCTTATTATTATAATTATAGAACCTCCTAATATTATAACCTCGCATCAATCTACAAATTCACCTATGATTACAGAAATAAAAGGAAGCAAAAGCTGTTTCAAGTTTTCATGAACTTTATTTTTTTTTAATATCAAGAAATATAAATTAATAGAGAGAGTCATTACTAAAATAATAAACTGGCGTGAATGATAATTTTTATAATTCATTATTATAAAAACTAATTTGAAAATAGAGTAAAACAACAATATAATTTTTTCTATAATGCTGTTAATACTTGAACTTTATTATTTTAAATAAAAACTTTTATAAGATAATGTTTAGATTTATTTATTAATTTATAAAATTATTCTACATATTTATAAATGAATATATTACATACTAACTTATTAAGAATTATTCTAGATATTTTAAAAATGTGTCCACTTTCTGAACTCACGTTTAGTTTCGCATTGCATTGAAATTTATTTGTATGGTCTGTAGATTTTTAAATATTTTAAAATGTTCCATAAACATTTATATCCATGTTAGTTAGTTAGGGTTTCTCTGCTTGATAAACTTAGGAATGAGGTTATCCGCAGTAGAACCAGAGTAACTGACATAGGCCAACAGATTAGTAAGCTGAAGTGGCAATGGGCCGCCCATATAGCTCAAAGAACAGACAACCAACGGGGAAGAAAGGTTCTTGAGTGACAGCCTCGTACCTAAGTGTATGGTGGGCCCCCACTAGATGGAGTGACGACCTGGTATGAAATGCAGGAAGTCGATGGATGGCTCAGGACCATGCTTTGTGGCATTCCTTGGGGAAGGCCTATGTTTAGCAGTGGATTTGTGAAGGGCTGTAATGATGATGATGATGGTGATAGTTACCAAGTTAAGTAAACAGTATATGAACGTTCATATATTTTTTATTATACAGAATGTGGTAGTTTCGTCACGGAAACGAGCGATTGTGTTCATTTTAAGTTTTTAAGCATTTAAAAGCATCCGGTTTAGTTTAATTAAAGCCTTGAAGACTTGGTTTATATAAGTATAAAGGCATGTATTAAATTGATAAATAGTCACTTTCAATATAAAAAGATACAATATATATTACTTAAGCGAACTGAAATTCTATTTATGTCAAGTAAACGGGCGATTATTTTATGACCGACGTCCATATTGCAATTATAAATAGCATTACGTTCGAGATTCTTGCTCTGTTCGTTTTGTTGCAAGCGTCTTCGATGCATTCGCATGATAAGGAATAATGTATGTTGCTAAACTTAGACAATTCGCAAGTCAAAGGTTCCGTATGTATATACGCACATTCTCGTATCATTGAAACATCGTTTTCCGGTGTAAAGAACTGCACCTGAGATATCAAACGGCAAACAGGAGGAATCCCACTTTTGTTCTTACACTCTTTCAAATATTTACTGTCCAAGTTGTAAGAGTAACAGCCACTGTCATAGCTCGTCGAACACTGATAGCATTTGATGCTGCCTATTCCTTTACATATAATATTTATCACGATCATTATCACAAGTCCGGAATTACCTAAGACGCCTTGCATTTTATTTCCAAAAATTAAGTAACGTATTAACAATTCTGACATTTGTCAAAAAGTGTAAACTTTAATTTTCGAATTATTAATAAAAAAAGATTACAAATCTGGTGCGTTTCAATTAAAATTGAAATATACATAATTTTGTAAGTTATCTGTATAACAATGTGGTACATATTAATAAAATATTTATCTATTTCGTATAGAATGTGTACTATTTAAACAAATGAGCGATATAGTCTTGTTTCGACTATTATAAGGACGGAGGCGTTTATTCCATATAATATAACTAGCTGGCCAGGCAGACGTTGTTCTGACTTTTCCGACGCCCCTTCCTATAAAAAATCCTAAATTCGCAATAAAAAAGATTGTAGATCACTTATCGGGCTAAAAAGTATCCTATCTCTCAAGTTGGACCAAACTGCACACAGTGTGTGAAATTTCATTGAAATAAGTTGTGTAGTTTAGAAGTTCATCGCGGACAAACAATGTGACACGTAATTTTTATATATAAAGATTATGTATTCCTCTGTTTTCTCCCTGGACATTGACACTAGATAATTTTTTTTTACGATACAATCTATATCAACGACTGCCATGTTACTTATGTCTTCGTATTTAAACATTTGAAAAACTGGAACCTACCAAAATTAAATATTAATTAACCACCGTTACTAGACATCCAGCAAACAAATTTAACGACTATAAAAATAAAAGCGAACATACCAACACAACCATATTTCTTTTTATATTATTCCGGAAAAAAGACGCCTCAGTTATAGAGGAAGAAACGGGAATACTGTACGACGATCTCATCAATTTTCATAGTTAGTTTTCAGTTTTATAGTTACATAATTTTCAGTTTGAGCTGCAGTTGTCTACCTCGGTTGTTTGGGCACAGTGCAATGGCAATATCACGTTTAAATTCTATTCTTCCGATTTCTTCAAACCTAGATATCCTTTTTTATTTTGAAAAACGTTATATATAGTTAGAAGATTTGTACCTTTATAGGTATAACAGGAGGTTACGCATGGACAAACCAGACCCGTAACATTTGTTTGTATGCCATACAAACACCTATTTCATAAATTCATTTATGTTGATACCACGTACGTCACGTGGTTTATGAGAAGCATCTTGTAGCTTACAACCAGCCTAGACTAGTCTAGTCTACCTAGCTTACAGCCAGCTTAGCATTTGCGTAGGACATATTTTCTATATATCCGTGTTATGCCTGCAGCACGAATGGGTCGGCGAATAAGACCCGAGGACCCTTTTTACTGCTAAAGGATCATTTCATCTTAGTCCTCATGGGCGCTTCTGGGTTTTGATTCTTACTCGCGGCTAAGTCTAGGAGTCTATGGGCTACATACATTTACCAACAGGTGTAGTGTTTTTTTTATTTATAGGATAAGGGTGACAAACGAGCACACAGTCCACCTGATGGTAAGTGGTTGCTGTGGCCCATAGACATCTACATCTATCTTCGATTAAGAATCAAAATGCAGATGCGTTGTCACCCATGAGGACTAAGATGGAATGCCTCGTTTCCAGTAAAAAGGGTCGCCGGTTCTCTACACTCACCATACGAAACACAGCAGCGTTAAGCTACTATTTTACGCTGGTATTCTGTGAGAGATATTCTGTGTGTGTCGAGCCGACCCATTCGTGCTACAACCATAATATAGCAGCAGCATGGCTCTACCACGTAGAGCGGTGTGTGTGCGGAATTATCATCCTTACTTCTATAAAAACATATTATAAAGCTTATGCGTTCTCCTCGGTGAATACCTTAGAATAAGTCTCAGTTTCAAAGGATTGATGGGTTAACATAAATATCAACATTTCGTTTTAATAGGCAACATCTCCTGTGGCGCCACCCAATGCAAACACGGGCAGATCGCAAACTAAGAGCGAGAAAAGAAGTGGCAATACACTTTACCAAGAGCTGGCGTTCCAGGAGACTGATGCTAACATAGCCGAAGGAGATGAGGGAGCTGACATTACAGGTACGTGCTTTAAATTTAAATTATGAAGCAAGAATTCTGATGATATTTTAGTGCATGGTAGAATATACGAACACTATTCTCTATTTGTCACCTCTTTGTACCCTGCTGCCTGAAGATGCTAAACCCAAATCCTAAAGATTAACGATGGGCGCAGCATTATCAGTACGTACGGTGTCAATCAACAAGTCATCGCTTAATTGATTTCTTAGCGTCGTTAAGTATACATATATTAAAGTATATTAAAAGCAGCAGTACTCTGATGGCATTAATTGTTTAGCTCATATGAAACACAATTTTTTACGTAAAAATGTCCTAGAAAGGATAATTTTCTGCAAATCACATAATTTAAGGGATTTAGAGATATTTAAATAGGCTAAAACGGACCCAGCCCAATCAACACCAATTAGAAAGAACACCTACCGGTTGTGACTTGATTATTTAACATGCATAATACTATGATGTGTCATTATTTTCAGGTAGTTGGGTACATCCTGGAGAATATGCCTCATCGGGTGAGTAATAACATATTTATATTTATTAAATAGGTACTATTGTTTGTCTGGTGTTATGTAAAGTGATTAGTGGCTACATGCTACCACCTTAACACGCTGTCCAAATTATACTATATTGCACAATGAGTAATTTTCGTATGAAACGAATTCACGTCAACATTTCGTAAAGTATGTGCTTGTGCTTGTGTTGCAATTATTTTATTATTGGAGATAGGTTGCTGGTCAACACAGGTAGAGAAACGTTCATATTTTATTGACAAAATTAACGATTTACGAATATAATTTTTTTAAGGATTTAACTTCACTTGTCCAAAGAGCTCTGCAACGAAACTAGATTGAACAGATATATGTAGTCTGTCCAATTTATGTTTTCTAAATCTAATGTGTATGTGATAAAATGCGCATAATATAAATTCATTTTGTCTACGTTTAGAAGGATTTTATGAATAAATAGCGGCTAAGAGGCTGGCCGAGTCATCCATTTGTCGGCATGCTTGACTTGCCTTACCTTACTGGCAGTTAAAATTGTACTTGGTAACTGTGTTAATGTACTCAACGTTGCACATAGTTAATTCATAATGCAACAAGTTTCATAATACGTGTCTTGTATTTATTTAAGCGGTCCAAGTTAGTCGTAATTAATTACATAGATTTTATGAAAATAATCTATGATTTAAACACAATAATTGTCGATAAAATTTACAAATATGTCTGTTGGTTTGTAATTGAATTTACTATGATTATGTACAAAGAAATAAATAATTTGTTCTTTGAGGACTGCCCTCGGGCTACATCACTCGGGCTACGCTTCGATAAGCTTCCCAAAAATAAAACAGATGACTTGTATAAAACATGAAAGGGGAAGCAAAAACATTTTAAATTTTATCGTTTTTCAGATAATATTGTAGTTTATATTGTATACATTTGTTTCTTGCTTATCCAATTATTGTTATATTATTACAATCTATACTGTATGTTTATTACAATTCTATTAAAATTAACGATTTTTGTGGAGCCTTGGGTCCTCCGTTACTTTACATAGAAACAGGTGCAAAATGAATTTGTGGTTTGGTTGTTTTATTCTAATGTAAGCTATTTTTAAGAACCTTATCCAAATACGAGGCGTTCTATCTTTGTAAAATATGTATGGATATGGATTATACCTCATGTTTGTTTTTATTTGTTACTTACAAATTGGACCACTCTGCTTATTGTGTTGTTACATACGAGAAACTAATTCTGTTCTATTCTACTTTCATGCGTTCTAACAAACGTTGCATCAACGCATTGCAGTTAACGATAACTATTTTGGTAAGTTTTTTTGACTTCTCTGGTATTAAAAGATTAACAGCTTCTCGTAGTATTCAATATGTTTTGGTTTCGTAACTCTGTTGCATTAATATGATAGTACCTATCAATTACTTTTAACACCATTGCATTACACTCCTATTTTTTCTTCCAAATCTTTTCTGACAAATGCCAAATGGATCTAATTTTAAATTTTGTGTTTTACTTCACGCATGTATTACGCTATAATTGAGGAAATTTATGGAGAACAGATTTTAGGTTTTAACTTAATACTTTATTAGGTGAATACTCTGCTTGGTGCTTGAATTAATGTACGCTTAGGGGCTTATGTTACCATTTCATTTAATTTTATACATCTCATAGGTATATGCTTATAATCTTCCTTCTCCTTTTTAAAATAATTGAGAATTCCCACTATAAACTCATTTTTATTTGTATTATTATCATGCACTTTTTTATATATCTTCTTACCTTAATTGTTTTCATTAATAATACTAATGAGCTTTCAGTTTGACGTTTTATGTCTATGTTATAACATGGTATGTATAGTTATGTAACTAACTAATGTATGCCATTCTATTTTCATGCCATCTAACACATGCCGCATCAACGCATTGCAGTTAACGATAACTACTTCGGTAAGTAAATGTCCGTTTTTTCTAACTCATTTTCCGACACGTTTTTTAAACTGAATACTAATTCAAACTAATTGTTTGGATATCCGATTTTAAGCTATGTAAAAACATTATTACAATATTTTATTATTTCCCTTTGAAAAACAATTAACAATGACTATAAACAGTTGTTTTATATTTCTATATTCTTCTTTGTCGACCTGTAAAAGTATATTGCTGGACATGGACCTCTGTTGTTGTAGGAAGGATTTGCCTTAAATATCTCGCACCCTGCCAATGGCAACGCTGCTCGTCGCTGCTCTGAGTATTTCTTATTTAAATCATTGTTGAAACAAGAAAGATGCCGATGCCGAGAAGGTAACGGTAACGCTACTAAATTTCACTACTGAACATAGGCCTCCCCCATAGATTGCCTCATAAGAGGGATATTTGCCATAGTTGCCAATTTTTAAAAATGGTTTGGCAACCGCAGTTTTTTATTTTTAGACGTTGTTGGAGAGACACTGCTGCCCGTCTCCTGATTTGTTTCCCTCTGTCGCCTCTAACAATACCCACGGTATGATATGGGGTAGTGGATATTCTTACACTGCCACTACACGAAACAAAAAATACATTGAAAACTAAATGAAAAAAGATTAATGAAATTAAAAGCAAAAAGGCAGTTGAAACGGAATTCCTAATACTTTAATTAAAATGTAAAATGTAATATATAGTAAAAATAGATTACATACAAATGGTCTAACAATTTAAGATAAAAACTGGACACAAAAACGCATTTAAGTGGTCAGTTATAAAAACATTTTCGTGTCACCTTCGCAATTTGTTGTGTAACTTCCGTTACTAATTTAATGAATGCAATGTTACGTTTACTTCAATACGGGCTTGTATTTTTTTGTTTGATCGATGAAATTCTTACTATAAAATAGTTTGCTCATTGACTTATATACTCGTATTACTAGCGTAAGGACCGGGCTAACCGCGCAACTAAATACCACCAATGCGTTTTGGCCCTAAAATGCCAGTTTAGGGCTAAGTTTACCAAGGTTACGCCAGGGTTGGATTCAGACTCTCAAAAATATTGTACATGTCGTATCCTTCCTTTTGAAATCATTGAGTTTGTTACACTATACATATCATAAAGTACTACCAACATCAACGTAATTTACAGCCTCAGTATTTCAATAGTAGTCAGTTTGGTTCTCTTTTCTACCGACTTCACGGTATTAATACACTTCATAATTTTCTATGAGCAAGGCAGTGGAGCCAGGACCTGATGAGTTTATAGAACGTTGTGTCTCGAAGTGCGACTTCCATATACGTATCTTATTACTAACGCAGCTTCATTACTAGCTAGTAGGACTCTTTTCTACCGACTTCAAAAAGGAGCCGGTACTCAATTCGACTGTATGTTTTTTTGTGTGTTACCTCATAACATTTTACTGGGTGGAACCGATTTCGATGATTCTTTTTTTATTTGAAAGCTCGTGCTTCTTCTGGAAATTTGATCGCGTTCTGACCAATAGTTTTTGAGTTATTCTTAATAATTTATATTGAAGTCGGTTGTACAAAGTTTTTAATTTTAAACTAAATCTCGTCTTTTTATCTTTTAGTAATTACTAATTTTTCATATTTTCCCCCGTCATTTCTTTTTAAAACGTTTATAATTTCTTATAAAACGTCATGGTATTGTAACTTCTTTCTAATTTATTTAAATCCCGTGTTATAATTTATTTTAATTATTAATAATAAAATGTTGAATTAATAAATTTCTATGCGGTCGTATAACTTAAATCACGTTATTTTCATATAATAAAATGTGCATGTGTTGCAGTGCTTCAACAATAACATGCATTGAATGGTTTAGATTGACCATTTATATAATATGACTTTGGATAGATAAATTATAAATGCGAATGTATAATATACACATGAGGCTTTTTCTGCCGACTTCCAAAAAGGAGCCGGTACTCAATTCGACTGTATGTTTTTTTTTTTTCGTTTTTTTTTATGTGTGTTACCTCAGAACTTTTTTCTGGGTGAACCGATTTCGATGATTCTTTTTTTATTTGAAAGCTGGTACTTCTCGTGTGGTCCCATATGAATTTGATCAAGGTCAGACCAATAGTTTTTAAGTTATTATTAAATAACTTATATTGAAGTCGGCTGTACAAAATTTTTTAATTTTAAATTATTATTGAATATTTTTTACATACAAAATTCCATTTAAGTACTGCTATGATATGATGTGTGTCATGTGAGACGTCTAATTTCTTGATCAATAAAATCTAAAACTGTTCCAACTGGTTTCATTAATTTTAAAAAGTCTGTGCCTGACTACTATCCCATCAGGATGGTAAGTGGTGATGCAGCCGAATATGGCAAAGTACACTGATTTAGCTCAATGAAAACCTATTCATGTCCTTGTAGACACTTACATTGTTATCGGATTAAAACAGATACTGGCAAATTATTTCATTATAATAATTGTTAAATAATATGATCCAAGTTGTATTCTTACAATAAATGTATTATGTTAAAGGTAAAGAGGTGGAAAACCTAATCCTGGAAAATAACGAGCTGCTAGCTACAAAGTAAGTTGATTATATACTATTTGATTCATTTTCATCATCACCATGATTACGGCAAGTTCACTACTGAACATAGGTCAAAGAATGTCACAACGCACGGGCCTGAGCCACCTGCATCCATCGATTTCTTCCATCTCTTACTAGGTTCTCACCCCATCTAATGGGGGGCCGTCCTACACATGCGTACCGGTACGAAGCTGTAATTTCACACACTCTTCACTTTACTGATCCATTAGGCTATGTCGGTTAATTTTGTTCTACTGCGGATACACTCATTAGGAAATCTATTACGCGAAGAAAAGAGCATAGGATTTGATTATATTTTATGAACTGTTTGCATGCTTATTTTTATGTTTACATGGAAATCTGCTATCAGAGCGATATTTGATGGGTTTTTTCTTCATAGTAATAATGAAGTAACAGCCTAAATTGTAGCATTAATATTATTTATTAACTTTTAAAGATAAACGATGCTAAATAACAATGTGACAGAACATAAGCATGGAGATTTCAAAACACAATAAGTATAACTGTATGTTATAACTTATAAAATAATTTATGTTATGTGTATGTATAGAGTAATGAAGGTAAAATTTAAGGGCTGTAATGAATCAATTAATGAAAATTTATAGAGTGGCGGAATGAACACATGGTAGCAAAAATGTGACCGTTATTTTAACGAGTTTTTAATACGTCTAGTAGTTTAAAACTGAAAAACTATTTCTATATTTATTAATATGTAATATGCTTTAGGAACGCCTTGAACGTGGTAAAAGACGACTTGATAGTGAAAGTGGATGAGTTGACTGGTGAACAGGAGATTCTGAGGGAGGAGGTAGCGAATCTTAGCTCAGCTAGGGAGAAGTTAAGAGAGCGCGTCACCCAATTGGAGGAAGAACTTAGACATTTGAAGGTGAGTTTCTAATGTTAGCATTTTATAGGCGATCGGTAATTTGTTCGCTAGCACCACCAGTGCTGTGTAACAAAATAAATTCAATTTCTAGAAAATTTATTCGTGAAGTATCTAGACAAACTGGTAAAATAATTAATTGTATGTTATTAATTAACATCGTGGTTACAAGATTAGTTGAAATTAAAGAGTAATTATTTGTTAGAATCATGTTGATAATTGACGAAATATATTTATTTATATGACATTAATCTGATGGATATCGCTTCACATCTAAAATATACTGACAACCGATAAATTAAAAGTTATTTTAGCATTAGCTAAGTTCACTTGTAAAGCGAGAAAATTCAATACGAACACAATCTGCACTTGGTTATCAAAATTTCCTCAATTGAGATAATATTCAAGTAATATAAACCTGTTTGCATTTTGTTAGAATCATTTGTATAAAATTGTAATACACTGTACGCTTAAAAGTGACTATGGCTATTTTGCTTCTTAATCGTCGTCAGCTAGTAAAATAAATGTCTCTTCGGTTATACTGCAGAATAAAGTTATAGGGAGCATTTACACACAGGTATTGGCGTTTGCTATAACTGAGGACTCGTATCTTTGACGCTAGTTTTTGTCGTAGACTTGCGTATTTTACGTCAGGCGTAAACGTAATAGATATATTGCCGCGTCACTCGGTAACTGTAAACATACTATGGCTATTAAGTGGGCATGTAACACGAATGGGTCGGCTCGACCGCGGTAGGGCCACGTTCTGACAGAATACCGGCGTAAAATAGCAGCTTAATACTGCTGCGTTTCGTATGGTGAGCTTAAAGAACCGGAGACTTTTTTACTGGAAACGAGGCATTCCATCTTAGTCCTCAGGGGTGACAACGTATTTGCATTTTGATTTTTAATCGAGGATAAATCTAGACGTCTATGGACCACAGCATCCACTTAACATCAGGTGGATTGTGTGCTCGTTTGTCACCCTCATACTATATTAAAAAAAAAGAAAACTAAAACTATGGTGCACTTTTATTTCATTGTAGTGTTTTATGTTGTGCATATTTATTAACTAGTTTTATCAATAACTAGCTGTTCCCCACGACTTCGCCCGCGTGGAGTTATTTTTCGCGGAACCCTAAAATAAAAGCAAATCAAGTTACTTCTTATAACATCAGCTATCTGCCAGTGATAAATATTGACAAATATTGACATTAACATTTATACGATACTAACGTCACTCAATTGTATTGCCTTCCTGACACCTGACCCCTCCACTAACACTTAAACTTTATAGTATGGTATTAAAGTTCAAATTGACTTTTAAGTATTATTACGAATTTTTTGTATGGGAATATAGAAAAGTGTTTATTTAGACTTTTCAGGAAATTTTTAAATTTTTCTCTCCGTAAGAACCATCTTCGTACTTCAAGGAATATTATAAAAAAAGAATTAGCGAAATCGGTTCAGCTGCTCTCGAGATTTGCGCTTAGCAACACATTCAGCGATTCAGTTTTATATTATAGATAAATTACATATTCTGAGGGTACGAATTGTGTGTTCTTCAGGGCTTTAGGCCACTTTTGCTCACTTTTAAGTCCGATTCTCACTTTAACGTTCAAATTGTTAAGTGTACGCTTTTCGTCCAGGAGACGGTAAGCAGTAACGCCGGTGGAGAAAATGAAGACGAAGCAGATGTTCCGATGGCGCAACGTCGACGATTTACGCGCGTCGAGATGGCTCGAGTGCTCATGGAGCGGAATCAGTACAAGGTACGTACGTCGTTGTATATCGTATTCAACCCTGTATTCCTTCTCATCATATTACGAAGAAAAATAATTAAAAATCAGTGAGGTCTCATTACAAGAGCCGTATGTTTGCCTAGTATCATGTCATAGGATGTAGGACTGCTTTTCTGCCTATGAATCCGTTTAGATTAGTACCATCGCTTTACTAATTTTCTGCCACCAAGCAGCATTGCTTCAACTGCTCAGCTCCAATTTGACCGGTAGGAGAGCCATTTCACATTACACAGGCTATAACCTACAGTATAAATATGTACTTTCATAGTTATTTTATGAAATTAAATAACGTCATATAAATTAAGAGCGAGGCACCCAGCTGCGCGGTGCTTCAATTTAATTTCAGAGAATCCGCTGTAGTGCTTTTACCGTTAAAACTTAATTACTACGAGTAGTTAAAGAAAACATCGTGAGGTAATTTGACATTGTATAACTTTAATAACAGCAATGGAGCCGCCCGTTTTTCAAAAAACCACGAAAAGTACCATCTCAGTTTATACAAACATGAAAACTAGGGGCATGTTTGTATAAACAATTGCAATTATGGCGCGTTTGTATCAAAAGGCTTAAATTTGAAAAAAAGAAGACACCAAAAGTTCTTATGGATAGAACAGAATTAACACACAACAACTATTTTTTTTAATCTGAATTTATATCTACTGCCGACTATGGCCCTAATCCCATTGTAGGAGGAAAATTTTATACCATAATCACCTCGCTTGGCGGGCAGAAAATAGCAACTTGTAAGAAAGATTAACATCGTTAAAATGTCCCCAATATTTTAAATATTATTTACTACGTTAGCAGTTTATCTTCTTTTAACGATTTCTTTTAAATCGCTACAGATAATTATTGTTTTACTACTTCCGCTAAGTTATAACTAATGTTTATAACTGGCACTGAGATTGATAAATAAGATTGTACGTCTTTACGTTTACATATTTTGTTTACCTTTTAAAATTACAGGAGCGGTTTATGGAGCTGCAGGATGCCGTGCGTTGGACGGAAATGGTGCGGGCGAGTCGCGTCGACTCCACAATGGACAAAAAGAATAAGCAGAGCATTTGGAAGTTTTTTAGCAACCTCTTTAAGTAATTCAACTTTTTATTCATAATTTACAGTTTACGTATTTACGTGGTAAAGCCACGCTCTCACAGAATACTAGTGTAAAATAGACGCATAATGCTTCTGTTTCGTATGGTGAGTATTGAGAACCGGAGACCCCTTTTACTGGAAACAAGGTGGAGGTGAATTTCAAAGTCTTAGTCCTCAGGGGTTTCTGAGACAAAACTCTACATCCCGTTGCAACGAATATTGATAGATCGAGGGCGTCAGCACTGCGCTATCAAACCGCTTGTCCTGTGTAGTGAGTAGGGCTCATTCCTAAAAGACTTATAAGTCGGTAATTAGTTTAGATTTGGAAATATTTTTCCATCCATTCAGTAGATTTTCACGGAAAATCTACTGAATGGATTACAATTAGGTTTCCTAAGTTTTATTTTTTAGATACTTGGCCCTTATCAAAAACTTAACATAGTTTTAGGAAGCAACGATTTTTATACGGGCTTTTCACGCGGTTAACAGTACGTCTCTTGCTCTCGCTTTACTAACCCAGATAATTTATATACTTTAGCTACAAACGGAGCAACGAATAACATTGTTTACAAAAGAAATTTGTAAGTTAACTATATTTTTGCTTGCCATCTCTATGATGTTTTTTCCTTCACACGTACGAAAACTTTGTTAATATATCAAGCAACGCGGACGAAGTCGCGGGTATCAGCTAGTCTTAAAAATATATAAATCAGTTTTATTCATTAGTGTTTCCTCGTAATGTTAATGTGTTTTTTTTTCACGTATTAATGCGGTTTAAAAAATATATCGAATTTAATGAGAGCGGGTAGTGTGTCCTTGTCAAGTCTGCAGTAAAGCCCAAACTCTCGCTTCGCGTTCCAGGTGTGCAAAATCTATATGCATTTTAGACGATGTCTCCTGTGAAAGTGTGGCTATTTTACATCAGTGGCAGTTCGATAAAACGCTAGAATATCCATCTTAATTTAAACCATTGAGCTGTATAACATGCCTAGCTTATTGGGGAATGATTCTACGATCAAAAAACAAGACTTCTTACTTTAAACTGTTCATTACATGTAAGCATGAAAATTATGTGACTTTTCCATAGACGATTCTTATCATTTTCCTAGGTCGAATTCTGATGTATTATTAAGTCGATTGAAGTCTATAATCTTGTAATATACAAGTTAGCAAACAAACAACACAAAAAGCAGATTGTATACAATTACTTTTTTCTCTTTATTTATTGCGATTCTTGTCTGTAGACATGATAATTCCATCGTAACGAATCTAATATACAAGTACACAACGATACAAGGAAAGATATGTGCATATCTTCCGTAACAAATTACGTTTCAAAAAATAGCAGAATTCAAGTAAGTGGATATCTTTTTTGTCTTTTTCCGTCCTCCATGACAACTGGTCAACTGCTAGACATCCCATGACAGGAAAACAAACAACACAAAAAGCAGATTGTATACAATTACTTTTTTCTCTTTATTTATTGTGATTCTTGTCTGTAGACATGATAATTCCATCGTAACGAATCTAATATACAAGTACACAACGATACAAGGAAAGATATGTGCATATCTTCCGTAACAAATTACGTTTCAAAAAATAGCAGAATTCAAGTAAGTGGATATCTTTTTTGTCTTTTTCCGTCCTCCATGACAACTGGTCAACTGCTAGACATCCCATGACAGGAAAGGACCTATAAGACATATGCGAGATCTGCCATAATCATTTGGCAAACTCATTTCAAAGAGAAAACATTTATTTGATACATATATTTCAAAACAATAATATATAAATGCAAAGGAAGAAATATTATTTATACTACTACTGTGTATGATTTGCGATCACAGTACCAGATATATATAATTTCTTATATTAAAATTTAAAAAGTTGACATATTTGCTTTATTCATTTGTATAGGTTATGCAAAGTAAATTATCAGAATAGATTTATTTTAAAATCAATTTGAAAACAGTAAAATTGAATCTGTTTTTAGCTTAACTTTTGAACATGTCAATTAAACGCCATTTTTAGGATTCCGTACCTCAAAAGAAAAAAACTGATCACTTTGTTGTCCGTCTGTCTGTCTGTCTGTTAAGACACTTTTTCTCAGGAACGCGTGGAGGTATCAAGCTGAAATTCATATCAAATACTCAGGTCTGCTGTCCCTTGGAGCTGAGAAAATATCAAACTTCTAGGCCAACGCAATCAAAAGATACAGCCGTTTATGCCGCAAATTTTCGACATTCGCAATTTTTCGAATCAAAATCTACAGGGTACTTCCCGTGAACTCAGAATCTTGAAATTTGGTACGAAGCAACGTTTTATAGCACAGATAAAGGAAAAATTGCGAAAAGCATAAATTTTTAGTTACATCATATAATAAAAATTAATTTAATAATTTTAAACTTATATACTTACGGATTAGTTCGGAAACCTCAGTGCGCGAGTTCGACTCGCACTTGGCTGGTTTTTTCATTTTCGCTGAGCGTCGTGTTTCACTTTTAAGCTATATTTTTAGATTAAATCTAGTATTAGTTGCTGTTTCAGTTAAATTAATACGAATTTAGAATCTTTTATTTCTATTGAATAAATTAAATTTCTTTAAGTATTTGGTGATTGCTAATTTATGGCATAAAATTGTTTACTTATAGCACGTGGTTCAAAGTTATACAAATCTTAAAGCGCTCACTTGTAAGTTTTGTTATATACTTATGACAGCATTGTATAGAAAACAAAGATAATATCTCAGTGTTATTGGTGCCATTCATTAATTCATTACAGCCGATAAAATTTCACTGCTGAACATAGGCATGTAGCTACCAAGCTTGGCGGGCGGGTTGGGAATCAGAGTTTTTTTAAAATTATTTTAAGATGTTTTCAAGAATATGCTTCTGCACATTTCCTAAAAGACACCCACGGTGTGATTTGGGACAGTAGATTCTCTTACGCCGCCGCATACTCAAAACTAATTATCCTGCGCAATAATAAATTAAAATTTCAAGTCTGTATAATCCAGTTAGCATTATTCATTCCCTATTCTAAATTTAAATTTTGTTATAATTTTTTTTACCAAAGAGCACCTAAATAACTAAATACCAATTGTTTTAATATATTTTACAATATTTTATAATCGTGTTTTGTGTAAATGACGAGATAGAGACATCCACACATCTCTGCAATAAATTTTATGTAACATAATGATCATCATCGTCACACTATATCAGTGCCCTGCTGAACATTAGCCGTTAGACTGCCTGAAAGTCAATATTCAAATCCCGCGTCTTGTCACTGCCTTAACCGGAACATGTATATTATTGTCTTACGTTTCTGATATTTTATTTCGTTGACTCTCATGTTACTCGTTATCGGGTATCCTTTATATTATGTTCATTGCTTCGTTGCTGTTTGCTAAAATATTTTTTTACCATTTTATATTACAGCAATATCGAAATGTTCATTTAAATAACGCTTGCGATAGAAACATTTTATGTATGTATGCTTATTACCGTATGTTATCTGCGTATCTTTTTTTTCTAGTAAAGAATAACTGTTTGCGAAGTGATGGTGATAATGCACAGTTTTTGTGAACATTTGAAAATCAAAGATGGTTCAATCACAAGTGGTTCATTTCGATCGGTTTTAAAAGTAATTTAAAATAATTTGTAATTTATGGAAAATTGCTGAAGCGTTGCGATCTAATAATTACCGGCTGGGCTTGCGAATCTAACAATCTTGATCTTTTTAATGATGATACTCCGCCATCATCGTCATCGTCATCATCATCAATATAATTAACATATATAAATCTCCCTGAGTGCCGGGGACAAATAAGCATGCAGTTCACCTCTTGGTAAATTACAGTTAAAAGCTGTTTGGTTAGAAATTTAAAGTATTTTGCACTCTTAAAATCGCCGCTTTCTTTGTTTCTTTTTTTTTACGATATTTTATGTGTCACATATACCACGCAAATTATTTTTATCTTTTTCTTTGTCGGCCTCTCACAGTACACTGTTTAATATAGGAGTGAACATGTTTTGTAGTATAAAAGAGAATCTGCTACGCTTGATTAAATTTTTTGGTTAAAATTTAATTTGAATCGTATTTTAGGATAGATTTATATTATACATACGTATGTATGTATAATATAAATCTAATAAAGATATAAGGAATAGATAACTGTTACCGTTTACAGCTATGAAAAGCACTGCCGAACATAGATTCCTTGGCGGAAGGAATATACAAACAGAAAATAAATGTTCAGAGTTAACAATGGTTACGCGTACAATGACTTTATTGTATTTTTATGTAACGTAACACATCTCATTTGCAAGACTTTTTTTTTAAATGTATGCAGCAAGTGCGTATACAGGGCACCTAGTATTAACCTTAACTTGTAGTTACTGCATTGCGAGTCGCTTAAAGTTCATTCAAAGCTATGTAGTGCTGATATAAATGTAACAAATATGATATTATGCTTGCGTTGTATATTAATATATTTTATTTATTCATTCATTACACCCAGTCTATCGAAGTCCCCTCCTATCTATAGGTCTTGCATGTATTGCATCGTAAGTTGCCATAGTTGCCAAGCTTGGCAGGCGGGGTGCAATTTTATATTTTCTAGTTGTTACTAGGAATAAGCTGTTGCACATTTCATGGTTTGTTAACTTTGTCGCCTCTTACGGCGATCTTATGGGGTAGTGGATATTCTCGCACCGCCTCTACACACGGTAGACGCAACGGAGGCCAGGCAACTGCGCAGGATAGGATTATAGTGCCCGAGTACTCTATGTTCCCTCACTCTCATAGTCTGATGGAAATCAGACTCAGGACCAACGGCTATACGTGCTTTCCGAGGCACGGTGAAACATTGCCAACTTTCTGATTCTGATTGCTACTGAGAAATTTTGACTGAAAAACTCAATAAATGTTTTTTTTTTTGGATTTGAACCAGGAACATCGTCATCTATGTATACATCATCGGCACTAGAACAAC